AAAAAAAAACTCAACTGCGGTTGTCAAGATTTTGAGTTGGATAAAACATAGTGATGAACTGCACAGTCAGATTTTGCATATCTTCCCTTTATCACATAATGACAGTAAGGTCATATACACACCGCCTGAAATCCCTCTGCATTATGAAAGAGCTGTAAGCTTAACATAATTCCTGCAGGACACAAGCTGGGCAACCACGGCACCAAATCATATCCATCCATGTCCTGAATATGTCCAGCTTAAAATTGCAGGACACACGCTGTGGAGTTGTAACCTCTGAGGGGGTTATTGAAAAAGAGATTAAAGCGAGACATAACTAGCGAAAGAGGAATAAGCTGGAAGAGCAAACAAATGCTCCTCTTCCCCCACAGTGGTTACGTTGATGCTTGAGTAAAGTGACCACAGGTTTGTTCGTTTGTTTGTTTTTGTCACCCTCATCCTTTTTGTTCAACATACATAATTAAAACTTCAGGTTAGGACAATTAGTCTAGGACATTTTCTATTTCTTTCTCTTAGAAAAATCCTATAAAACATGATCTCTTGGGTTCATAGAAAAGCATTATTTTCCCCGAAAGACACCTGCATTCCTAAGCCACGCTTTGGGCTATACAACAGCAACCTACATGAGGCATTCCACAAAAACAGCCCTTACTGTGCAAATGTGTATCCAGCTACATATATTTGAATGCAATGCAAATACACAGGGCTACTATCACCCTACTGCTTCATACCACTGAGCTCTTTGTTTGTTACTTCTGTGCAAATTAACACTTCAAACAATTATTTCCAAAGATTAATGCAAGAAAAATACAGAATGACTAGGAAAATACCAAAACTGTATTGTATATGAGATACAATTGACAGCTGTCTGACATAAGCAGAGATGTTAGTTGGCAACTTTTTCCTCTTTGCAAGGAATACAGAGGATGCTGTTGAGCAGATCTTTCAAAGGAATAACATGGAGTAAGAAAGGCTTCTTTTCTTTCCTTTTTTTTTTTTACGCTTTCAGATTTTCTTAAAAATGGATAGCAATAAAATTGAGGAAATTCTTTTGAGATTTTTTAACAGAACTTGATTTAATAACTTATTTTTGAGTAGTAAAGGTATAAACTGGGACAATTCATTTTGGCACATTACCAGTACAAAACTATTTCTTTATTATCTGAACATACTAAAAAGATCTTTCCAGAAGCATCTTTCCCAGCTGCATGGAAACTAGTAACTGAAGAGAAGCACTGAATATACACACAGTATCAAAAGTATAGTTACTCATTAAAGACTGCATTTGAATGGAGAAAGGAATTTGCAAGCAGCTATTATAGCTGAGATCACTTTGATTTGATTTGAACTGAAGAAAACACTTCCATAAATTGGAAACTAAATTATTCCTAAAGCATATTCAGGTCAATTCTACACTCAAAAATAAAGAATACTGAAATTCTTCATTATAAACACTTCTGAAGTCTCTAAACAAAACACACTGACTATCCTTCATTTAAATACCTTTTCTTGTGTGACAATTAATAGTCTTTACACATACTGCAATGGGGATAGATTAACTTAAGACTAACTTAAGTCATTCCCAGCCTTATTATTTATTTTATTTAGGTAGATTCCACAAAGAGACTTTCTTATTT